TTTTTTTTTTGAGTACATGTAGGGAAGGAACTAATGGTTGGATTTCATTTCAATATAGTTGATGAATCAGATTAATGACAGCATTTTTTTAGAACCACCTCTACTTTCTTTGAGATGGGGATTAGGGAGAGAAGATAACATTGGCATGAGGCTCTAGGGCAGAGTCTTGAAGAAAACAGTGTGCCTTTGCATTGGTATTCAAAGGTAACTGAGCACTGTGGAGCTCTGAAGAGCCACAGGAGTAAAAGTGTGCTGAAATTAATGCAGGCATATGAGTCAGGAGACTGCAATGTTCAAAATCTTGGTGTGTGATGCTGTTTCCAGTGTGTGGCACAGAAGGGTCACCCCACTCCTGTGGTCTCTGCAGCCAGCCTTGTGTATGTCTGCCCTAAGCACTGCTGCCTGTGGTCCTTCCACGTAGTTTTAGGGATCCCTGGGATCTCTCCACAGGCCATGAAGACCACTGAGGAGGTGCTGATAGCTGTTCACAGAGCCTGGGAGGAAGTTAAGGTAGCTGCACTCAAAGGTGTGACTAGTGAGTCTCTCTGGTAGTCACTCTCTCATTATTAATATCTGCACAGCCTTTTCTTTCCTAGCAACCTGCTGGGAGTGAGCTTATTGGCAGAGTGATGCATAAAACTGCACTTGTGTGTGGCTGCCTTCCAGGGAGGCTCTTGTCATCTTTATTGAAATTCACACTGCACAGGAGTACTCATTGTCCTCCGTTCAATCCCTTGTGTTTAATATGGGAATTATATCTCCCAAAACACATCTCACCATATTTTGTGGTTTTGAAATGCCTGGTAACCTGAGAATGGAGCCTATCAAACAACTAGTAAAATAGCACTGATATTATGAAATTGAGTCTTCAACTTGGCCCACATAAACACAACCACCTTTCTTGAATTTAAAAATAACTTCTGAAAAAATAATTTCAACTGTTTAGTTCTCTTAGTTTGCCTGGTTGGTTATTTGTTTGTTTGGTGGTTTTTTTGGTAGAAATTTCAAATACTAATTACAAAATAGGAAAATAGTCTGTTTAGGTCAAATGGATGTAAACACTCAGATACTTAAAACAAGAATCAGTGCAGATTTGTGCTTTTTATTTTAACACCTTCAGATCAGCTTCTGGACTGATCTGCATTTTACACAATCCAGCCACAGACAGCAAGCTTATTTATAATGAAGTACTACTATTAAAAAACATTGCTTAAAGACAGTGGAGAGGAATCGACACACAATTCTTAATGTGGATTTTTTGACCATAAAAATAGGCAATACCGAGGTTCAGTTTATTCAATGTCAATGAAAGCAATCTAACCTTAAAGTCACAAAAAAACCCCATCTTTTGAAAATATAAGATACCTGGTTAAAATAATTCTTAGTGAAGTAGCTCCTTGGAATCAGAAGGTGGCATTTTAAAAAAGTGAAT